ATAGACAGGAAGTTGGCAGGAGCGAAAAACGCTTGAAAGAAAGAACGGACGAGCATATGGCGAAGAACTTGTCGCGAATGACCAGAGAGGCGGAACAGCGAGAGTTACGCTTAAGAGACGACATGGAGAGGTTAAGAATTCAGCAAGAGCAGTCTCTTGGGACTCTTGACACAAAGATAGACGCGATGATGGAGAGGCGAACTCAGGCTATCATGGATAGGTTGGACGGGCTACTAAGCAGCAAGAGTGGACCAAAAGAAGGAGAGCCGAACTCGGGAGGTCCCAGCAGGGAACCGAGGGTGAACTTCAATGAACATCAAAGGAGGAAGACGTATGGATCCACTAGAGGCAGGGGCAGTTCGTCAGACTATGCCACAAGGGGTAATGGAGCATGGGGCCCGAACAGTAGAGCAAGTTCAACGGGGAACAGACAAACCTCTAACGAACGATCAACGCAAGGCACACATGCGACTGGGAGAAGTGATTCCGGCAACAGGGGGCATGCAAGCCCGAGGAGGAGTCATGAGGGCCAAGCGGGAAGCACTCACGGTGATTCGGATTGCAGGGATGCACCGCACACAGAGCCTTCGACGAGGTGTGAGGACACTCAAGCGGGACACTCAAGGGATGCTACGGCAATGGCCACAGCATTTGAACCCCTGAACAGGTCTTTGGAGACATTCCTGACGCGGTTATCTAGAACCAATGAACGCAGTGAGAAGTCCAGAAGAGTCTTTAAGAAGCCAAGATGCTACAAAGACGAATCTGATGGCTGTATTGATACCTGGATAGAGGTAATGAAGCTGCATTTCGAGGAAGAGGACTTGTCGGAGAGACAGGAATGCAGCGCGCTCACCAGCAACTTAGAAGGGACAGCCCTGAACTGTGTCATGGCCAAGAAGCAATATCAACGTGACACTGCTGAAAAAATCTTCGAAATCTTGTTAAATTGTTTCGGATCAGGGGTGCAGGGGCACCAGACGATGATGCGCTTCGAGAAACGGAGGCAACGAGAAGATGAAACCATAGACAAGTTTCTCGATGATTTGGAAATGCTGAGAAGACGTAGCCAATCGGATGAGTCAAACCGAAGGATAAACCTGGCCGTAGCCTCAAAATTCATCGATGGTGTGAAAAATGATGAACTTCGTACGATGCTAGCAACGCATTACACACCACTATCAACTAATGCGCCAACACCGGAGGAGTTAAGGCTCAAATCAAAGGAGTATCTTTTGTTGAAACCTCCTTCGAGATCTGGATATTACAAGAACAATTATGGAAATTTTAACAACGGACCAGCAAACCAAGGGAACAATTGGTACAAACCGAGGGATGATATGGACAAGAGACGTTCTTGTGCTAATTGCAGTTCAACAGACCATCATGTGTCAGCATGCCCAGCTTACAAACAAGGCATGAAAGCAATAGGCTTTAGCCTCGAGGACGAAGATGCGTCAGAGTTGGAACATGAGGATTTCATGAGAGGAGTAATTGCGAAATTCGGCCCGAGATGTTTCTTTTGCAACTTGGAAGGTCATTTAAAATCAGATTGTCCCCAATTCTGGGATGCAGTGGCAGACAGCAAGATTCCAAGACATGAAGAAGCTTTGTCAGGAGTGAAAGCCAGCAAGGCTCGACTTTTGAGTGAAGCGGAGGCACGCAGAAAGGATAAACCTGAAGAGCTGGCGGCAAAGAAGATGCAAGCGGTAACAGAGAAGGCACGTGAGCCGGAACCAGCAACTGCGGCTGACGACTTCAAGATTGATTATAAGGCAGCCGCAAGGGATGCTCTGAATAGAGTACAGCAGGAATTGGTGACAAAAGAGATCGAACAAAAAGTGAAACTTGAACTGGAAAATGAAAAGCTTGAGGAGCAATTGAATACCTTCGAAGCAACGGAGTTCGAGGAGACGAAAACACCAATCAGTTTAGACATGAAACTTAAAGTGATCTCCGGTAAGAGGTTCGGCATGGTGCCGCAGGGAAACAAGATACAGTCGATAATCTCAGTGGCTGGACACCAGGTAATAAGAAATCTGAGTGAACCATCAGAGTTCCTTTTAATGCATTTGGACACATATGCAGATTATCTGAGGCAGGTGGAGCCACGCACCGAGTCGAGAGCTGTGCGAGCACTACTAACGACAGGTGGCCCTTGCATGAAGAAACTTCATGGACGCTACCTAGAGGTCTATGGGCCGTATCAAGTAATGCTGAATGTGGATGGAATCAGTATTTACACCAGGACTTATGTAACAACAGATGATGACCAAATGGGGCAGATCTATTTGGGAGAAGAGAAACTCAAAGTCCGCAGGATAGGCCATGACGCCATGATGGAACAATACGCAGTACACATTGGGTATGAAGCAGATGTGACAGCACATCTGCTCGACACCAACGGAACAAAAATCGGAGTCACAGGGCTTCTGGACACAGGAGCGGTGGTGAGTGTGATGCCGATAAAAACCTGGGAAAAGATGGGCTTCACGCGGGAAGATCTGATTCCTACGAATCTCCGACTGGCCGCCGCAAATCGAGGAGCTATCTACGTAGCCGGAAGAACACCGATAACGGTCCTTCACATGGGAGGACGAGATCTTTGGATGAGCTTCCTGGTGGTAGAGAATCTGGACGACGCCGACCAATTCATCTTGGGCAGAGATTTTGTCAGGAATTTTGAAGTGATGATTGACTTGAACAACGGTCTAATACGGATTAGAAACCCGGACCGAAAGTATGTTAAGAGACCAATTAATAGGATAATAACAGACGAAAATAAGGTACCAGTTTTTTTGGATAGAAAAGTAAAATTACAACCAGGACAAGCTGTAGTAGCAATTTTTAGAATGAGAAATTTAAATTCGTTGAGTGATAGTAAACAGGTTTGCTTAGTACCGAATCCAAATAGTCAGAGTTCGGTGATTTTAGGCCGGAGCTTCTCGGTAACGCGAAACGGACTGTGTGTCAGTGTGTTGTTGAACACACTGGACACCACGGTTTCAATCCAGCGTGGAAAGAAGCTTGGCTACGCTTTGCCGACGAGGACCGACTATGAGGAGACACAAAACTTGAAGAAATATAGTGTGAAAGACTGTCCTTTTCATGCCAATAAAGATAAAATTTTAAAGAGGATTAATGAATTAAAATCTATTCATAAATTGTTTTCAATGAAATCCGAAACGGACGACGGGTTATCAAGATGCTAGAATTTTCCGGAACGCCCCTCGTCATATGAACTAGAATCTGACAAACCGGTTTTGCCAGAGATAGAACATTTAAAAGGGAAAATAGGTGAGGGAGATTTCAAAAAATTACGGGACCTCCTAAATCGGAACGCAGATGTATTTTCAAAACATAAGGCGGATATCGGTTGCTGTAATTTCGTCGAACACGAAATCGAACTAGAAGAGGGCGCCATTCCCCATAGGGAAGGCGCAAGACGAATGACGCCACACAAATCGGAAGCGTGCCGAGCGGAGATAGAAATGTTGCTTGAATACGACATGATAGAACCCTCGAAATTTCCATGGGCTTGCGGAGTAGTAATGGCGAAAAAGAAAGGGGGGCAGCTTAGATTTTGTTGCGACTTTCGTTACTTGAACGCGGTAACGATAAAAGATGCGTAACCGATACCGCGAATAGACGAGAGCCTATCTAAGCTTGGTGATGCCAAGTTCTTCACCACATGGACTTAGGTTCTGCCTTCTGGCAGGTCCCTCTGCGAAAGAAGGACAGAGAGAAAACCGGATTCGCGTGCGAATTGGGATTGTACCAGTGGAAGAGGATGCCCTTCGGCTTGTGCAATGCAACGGCCACTTTTCAAAGACTGATGGCTCAGGCTTTGACGAAGGTGACCAAGAAGTACGGGAATCTCGTGATGTGTTACGTGGATGACGTAGTCATAGCGACACCGACCCTGGAAGACCACATTGATAGGCTCGATGAGGTCTTTGGATGCATGAAAAGAGCAGGATTAAAGTGCAAACCATCGAAATGTGAAATCCTTAGGGACTCGATTAAGTACCTAGGACGAATGGTGGATAGGCATGGTGTGAGGCCGGACCCGGAAGCAGTGGAAGCAGTGTTGACATGGAAAGCTCCCAGAACGGACACGCAGCTCATGAGCTTCCTAGGGTTTGCCAATTACTACCGAGAATTCATAAAAGGATATGCGGACAAGGTGTACCCGATGCAGAAGCTGATGCGCAAAAAAGGGAAAAAGTTCGAATGGAACGATGAGGCACAGGTTGCTTTCGAGAACATAAAGCGGGAACTGTGCGAAGCGCCAGTGCTGGGTATGCCTACAGAAAAGGGCATGTATGTTCTCGACACAGATGCATCGGTGGTGGCCATCTCAGGAATCTTGCATCAAGAGCAAGAATGGAACGGAAGAAGAGTTCTCCGTCCCATTGCATACGGCAGCAATGTCTTGAGTGACACAGAGATGAAATATGGCGCACCAAAAGCAGAAATGTTTGCAGTAGTCACCTTCGTGGAGAAGTACCGTGCATACTTGGGGAGCGCTCCCTTCAAGTTACGCGTAGACAACAGAGCGTTATCCTGGTTGAAGACTTACTCGATGGATCAGAGTTATATTGGTAGATGGATATTAAGATTGGATGGCTACCATATGATAATCGAACATAGGATGCGTGATAAACACCAGAATGCTGACAGCCTCAGTAAGAAAACTGAGTTCTATGAAAGATTGGAGCAGAAGCAGGCCAATCAGGCGGAACTAAGGGAGGGATTCTCGTTTCTGGACAAAGAAACTTATGAAGCGCTTCCCTTAACGAGATGGTTGGAAAAGTCTGGACATCCATTTCCAGGGCACCCAGAGTTACCTGTAGAGAAAGCAGCCGAGATAAAGATCCTGTCCAAGGAGGACCCGGTCCCCTTGGATCTGTTGCTGCGCTCGAACCTGGTCCAGCAAGAACTCTCTCGCATGAATATAAACAGCCTCTCATTATTGGACAAAACGGTGCAAGTCACACCACAAGTGATGCGGATGCTGGGTGGATTGTTAGAAAGAGAAGTGACCAGAGATGACACCGAGTGGACAGCTGCAGTGGCATCGCTAACAGTCAGTGAGAAAGTGAAAATCATGCCGTCCAGACGACAGCACGAAGAGAATGAGAGGGATTGTAGGACAATAGCTCAGCAACTAGTATCCTCAATACCGCAAGAAATTTTAACCAGTCCTTCTTACGGACAGAACGAACAGGGAAGCAGCAAGCGAAAGAAAACCGTCATCTTAGTGGACCAGGATAAGGAAGGTAAAAATGTAGAACAAAATCGGCTGCAAGACTATTTGTCCGGGGAGACGAATGATGAAAAGAACCAGCGATCACAAGATCAACACCCGGGACAAGGAAATTTGTCCGGGGAGTCTGAGATAAACGAGGAAATTCCTGATGAGAAACAGGACCTAGAGAACAAGGTTTTGTCCGGGGAGTTCAGATGGATGCGAAGAAAGCACAGACATGATCTGGAGGAGAGCGCAGTCCCCAGCACAACCTCTTCGACGGATGATGATTCCCGAAACTCAGGAATGGATACCTATTCAGACAGGAATTCGACCTCGGGATCCGAACTGTCAGAACTGGCGATTCACACGCTACTAGTGGAAACTCGGGCGAGGGATCTGGACAGAGAGGTGTACCAGGATCCTGACAGTGATCGCTACCTAATACCAAGTGAAAGAGTCTTTGACAACGCAGCGGATGACTTAGAAACAATAGCAGTATCAAAGCGGTCGATGAGCTTATTGCCACGAAAGATGCAGTCAGGACTGATCTTCAACCGTTTCAGCAAGAAACACAACCGTTGGCGAAGATTTGGTGCGTTAAGATGGAAGAAGACACACATCAGCCCAACGAGCTGAATAGTCAGATGAGGGTCATGAAGACGTACTTGAAGTCGCGATACAGACTCTCGGACCTTCTAAGGGCGCAGAGAAATGATCGCATGATAAGCAACCTAAAAAGGTGGATAGAAAACGGTGCACCAGACAAAGGTGACCTGGAAGAAGACAGCTATAGGATCCTGAGACAATACTTCATGCAGAAGGAGGGGAGATTATATCTGAACAAGGACGGGATCGTGGCTTGCAGGAGAAGAGAAGAAGACAAAGTCCTATACAAATATAACGCGATAGTGTTGCCGCAACTCTATCAGACAGAACTATTATTCAGGTCGCACGATCAGATGGGCCATCAAGGGATCGAAAAAGTGTATCAGAGGATCCTGAAGCGCTTTGAGTGGCCTGGAATGAAAAAGGCATGCGAGAAATGGGTAACAGCATGTCTGTCACGCCAACAGGTCAAGGATCCAAGGAAGTTGCGATTTCCTTTACAATCGATCGAGTCGTCTGAATTCAACGAGGTGGTGCAGATAGATCACCAAAAGATATGCATGACAGACAATGGTTACAATCAGGTGCTGGTCATGATAGATCATTTTACGAAGTATGCAGAGGCCGTGCCCTGCATAACTGCCTCGGCGGAAGAGACATGCGACCACCTGATCAATACGTGGATAGCAAGACATGGTTGTCCGATGACGTTTCAATCGGATAATGGAACAGCTTTCGTAGGAGAGCTTACGAAAGAGCTTATGAGACGCTCACAGGTCGCTCAGGCTCACTCCACGACATACCACCCTCAGACGAATGGCTTAGTGGAAAGACAGAACAGGACGTTAGTGTCGATGCTGAGAGTATATTGTTCCAGGTACATGACCGATTGGGACAGATACCTTCCACAGTTGAACGATCTGTGCAGACGAAATACTCAGCAAGCACAGGCAAGGCAAAGGAAAAGATTCGACAAGAAAGCAGCTGGCGCTAAAGCTTACTCGGTGGGGGACTACGTATGGGTATTTCAGAACGTTATACCACCGAAAGGGACAAAGAAGCTTCTAAAAAAATGGAGGGGACCCTTCATGATTACGGAGGTGCACCAGGAGGGACGCTTTTATAGACTGAGTACTGGCCGAGCCGCCCACTACGAGAACATCAAGCCACACAATCCATCGACAGAAGACTGGTGTATACCTGCAGACATGGAAGAAGGGGATTATCTAATGATGGATCCTGCTTGTGAGGTCAATGAAAAGGGAACCAGGGAGAAGAACGATGGAAACGAAGTCGTAGAGGAAGGTACGGTTACACCGCTGGACCTGGATCCAAACGAACAGATCGAAGCGGACGATGAAACCTTACCCTACGCAGAGGAAGAGTGGCAGGATCCCGAACAGACAGAGGTTCCCAAGAACTTGGAACCAGATCTTCCGTTCACGATGCAGACTCGTCAGAAGGACGGGACGAGACCAAGAAAGATTTACAATCCTTACGGTGACGACTTTGTAGTGGATAGGATAGATCTAAAGAAAATAGTAGAGGAAGAAGTGGGTTTAGAGGAGATAACTGTGTCACAAGACATTGACATAGTCGATGATCACAACGATGAGTGGGTTGACGACTGGTCGAAACCCGAGGTAGAATTCGACGATGAGCAACAGCAGTCATATGAACAAGACCTGACGAACCTGCGTGTCTTAGAATGGCTGAATGAAACAACCTCGGATCCAGAGAAGACCAGCGTCACGATTCAAGACGTAGATCGTGAAAGCATGAAATACATCAAGACCGAACGAGATGATCCTTCCTGGGCTGCCCAGGAAGGACGACTACTCATTCCAGCTTCTAACCTCGACTTGATACCCGGTATGCGATCGACGGGGACGTCGATGGATATTTTTGTCCGGGGAGTGGGGGTAGGACTTACCCACACTGAAAATTTGATAATAAAAAAATTAAGAATAGCAAGAGAAACAGGAGACTTAGAAGCAGAAACAGGCGAAGAGCCTAAGAAACCTGACATAGGCAGGGTAGTTGAGTCATATTTTAACTTACCAAATGAATTTTCAAGTAACATAATACTAACAGACAGTGATTTCATACTCACAAACAGAACATGTGCGATAGCAATCACAGTAGACATGAGTTTTAGGACAGCGTTAGCGGCAGACTTTATGAGAGAATACAAAAACGTGGAATTCCTTTGGAAGCAAAGACCAGGGATAGGGGGCGTAGCAGCCTTACCTCCGGCGGTGTCGCAGATACCGGGGAAATACTTATGCTTCTTGGTAACGAGGGCGACAGAGAAGCAGCACGTAGACCCAGAAAACCTAGTCTTGTCCTTGACGAGGCTGAGGGACTTCCTTGTGGAAATGGACGTGAAGGAGCTCTCGCTTCCAGTGTACGATCCAAACAGAGGAAGACTGCATCCTCGGGAATTGTACGCGCTTGTACACGTGATATTATCTGATACGAACATACAAGTATATCTACACAAGAAATATTACTTAAGTATAGGCTGAGTGATGTGCGAGAGAGTGTTAGGCCAAAGACTAAGTTGTATGTAATATGTGATATGTGTGTTATGTTATGTTATGTTATGTTATGGTTATTAAGATCATGGGTAAGTAGGGGTTAGTGACCATGAACAACTAAATGACGATCTTGGGAATAGACCCAAAGTTTGGACTGTCCAATCTTAGGTCGAATTCCAAAATTTTAGAAACCAATTGATTTTAATAAATTTTAGGATAAATATCTTTTTATCTGAACTGTCTTTAAGCAAATTTTAACGATATATGTTAAGGTAAAACTGACAAGTGTGACATTCGTGATTTCTTTTCTAGATCCTGATTGATCATTTAAATTACTCACTTGAGTCAAATCATCAAATCGAATCAAATCAAACTTGGAAAGAACAGTATGGACAATTTCAACCTGGATGAATTGATGGACCTGGCAGAGGCATATGTAGGACCGATGATAGATGCGATCTATCGTCGGCTGATCGATCGAGACTTCGCTCTGGAGGACCCAGAGGTAGTCATGTTGCTGACCGCCCTGATCAACATCTTGGGCACGACAACCGTGGGGACCGCCCCACGGAAGTCCTGTTGATGGCAGCATATGGAGAAAGAGGAGTACTAGACCGCCCGAACATGAGAGTGATGAGGTGGAGAAACGGGGCTCTCTCAGGGAGTGACTTGGCGAATGAGCCTGGATTGGGAAGTTCTAGGACTTACCAACCAGGTGAGATGCCAATGCCCTCTAAGCCTAAACATGGGCTGACGAGAATGCATCGGGAGATGAACAGCGAGACGACATCGTCTGGTTCACCACTGAGAGCAGCTGTGCCACCAAAAAGGGCGAAAGTAACACAGAAGGTTCAGACGAACCAAACCATACAAGATCTGGACGAGATGAATGATCAGCTGAGAAGTACGAAGAAGGAGCTGGACGAGATGACCAGAAGCATGCTCCAGATGGAGGAAGATCGGGACATGTGGAGAAAGTTGTTTGAAGACTGCAACAAAAAGCAGGGTCAAGAGATCGAGCGCTTAAGGCAGGAATACAAAGAGCGATCGGAGCAGGTGGCGTTGACAACGGCCGTGGAGAAAGTGATACCTGCAAGGGATATTCCTCGTGGGCAGTCCCCGATGGAGCTCTTGACACCTCGAGAAATGAGTCAACCAACGGAGACACGGCTTCCAGCAGAGACGAATCGAGTAACAATTCCGGATCCTAGTGACACCTTGGGTGATCCCGTCGTAGAACAGACAGTGAGGAGGCTGATAGAGACAGCTGGACGACTGGTCGCTAACAAGAATGCGCCAGGTTCCGGGGTGACTGCACCCTATGGAACGATTGACGATACGGGCAGAGTACAACTCTCCCAGACCGTGATCAGACAAGGGATAAGTAACGTGACACTACTCATGGGGAGCTCGAGAATCCCAGAGAGGAAAGTACGAAAGATGCCAGCGAAGAAAGTGTCTCGTGTAATAGACGTGCAGAAGAATAATCAATTGAAGTATAATTTCACGGGAGTTCCGGAGACAGATCCGAGGGCCTGCTTCAATCGAGCTACCTGGAGCCCGGCTGTGAAACTGCAGCAACCACCACTCGGGACATCTCACCTGATATTGGGAGACAGTTTAGTCAGTGCTGTCGATTTTGAGGACCTCGTGGGTCACCACGGTGATGGCCTTTGGAGGCGCGACGATAGCCCAATTATATCGGATGGTGG